GTTAGCAACTGGACAAATTGAATGCAGCGGTCAAGGAAAAGCGACCAGAATTGGTCGATCGTAAAGGTGTCATTTTCCAGCAGGACAATGCTAGGCCGCACACGTCTTTGTCCACCCGGCAAAAATTCATGGATATTGCTTGGGAATCGATGTTACACCCATCATATAGCCCTGATCTCGCGCCATCGGATTACCACTTATTTCGATCCCTGGACAACTCCCTTCGTGGTAAAACTTTGAACGACGACGACGCTGTAAAATCTCACTTAACTCAGTTGTTGGCCGAAAAGGATCAGACTTTCTACGAGCGTGGAGTTTTCAAGTTGTCGGAGAGATGGCAAAAAGGTCATCGAACAAAATGGAAAATACATTACAGATTAAACTTCGTTCCAAGTAAAAAAAAATTTTTATTTCATCGAACAAATCGGCAATTACTTAGTTGCCAACCCAATATTTCTACCATCGTTTGCTCAACTATTTATTAAAGCCAATGAAAATATACCACAATTTAAGATTTCAATCATTACGAGAGACAAAGTGCGAAAACTACTGATTAAATTCAGATCGTTTTATAGTAAATAATAAATCGAGAAGAACGATAGTTCGCATCGCCGGCTAAGGGTTAGCTCGCATCATCTACGGTGCTAGGGGGCTAAAGTCTTTAAGTACTACTGCCACTTCGAGTCCGTTTAAAATTTGCTCAGAACGTTTATTCGAATGAAAGAAGAATCTTTTTCTCGCGTATGTCTCGCAGCCGTATTCCAGTTACAACGACAGTTAAAACTCTGCGTTCGAATGAACAGTCGTTACTTTCTTCTTGATAAAATCGTTTTCTCCGTTAGCAGTTTAAGCACGGGGCACGCATGTAGCTGAACGATCAAAATTCTTATTCGCGATCACAATATCGATACAGTTTGACGCGATCACAGAGAACGTCACAAGAGCACTGGTTCGTGAAATTTAGTGTTGATCAAGCGATTACAAGTACAAGAATTACAAAAATTCCCTTCGGAACTTCGGGAATGAACGGGTCCACTGTGGTGCGTGAATCGATCGGAATAAATAACGGGTTTGTTGCGGACGGATTTTGCAAGCTTTTGTTTCTAAAAATCGATATTCTCGACGATCGACGATCAGAGCATACATCGATATTAAAATGAACAATTTTAATAAGCAAGAAAAGAGCTTGTCGTATCGAAAATGCACAGACGTTGATACATTAATTCGTAAAGCTACTTAAAAATATTGAAATTTCTCGCATTCACGATTCAATTGTACGTATATTATTTAAAATTAATTATTACGCAAATTTTTCGTTTGTAAACATCCAAATACGAAGACCCTGGTACGCTTACTTTAAAACATAGATTCCAATAAATTATTTTCTTCGCTTCGAGATACAGATATACATTTCCACTAAGAAAATATGTTCCAGACTCTATCGTCGCTTAAAAATGATCAACAAAGAATTGGAGATCCTAGATCGTTTAATAAAATTGTTTCGAATCTTTCTAACACACGATTCCACGTCCGATCTCCGTGCAAGTAATCTCTTCGCTGTAGAACGAATTCTCGTTGAAAAATCCGTCATAATTTGTGCAACAACCCGTCGACAACAAAATGGCCGCCGCGGTGCCAAAGAACCGGTGAAGATGGACCCGCGGATTCTCCATGGAATACTCACGTCAGCGTCGACGAAAGTGACAGTCATACGTTACGTTTTTAAGGTGCGGCTACTTTAATCTTGCGACACAAGCGCTTTACTACTTTAGCAGAGGTGTGCTTCTGAACTTGCCTGTGCGTAGCGGCAGCAGTAATCCCTACAACAAAAGAATACTTCCAGAGGCCCGATACTCACCAGAGAGAGAACAGAAGAGGACAGAGATGGGGGAACCATTTTATCCATTTCACCACCCGTAACCATAATCCATCCTCGCTATATAATATCAACCATGATTCGTCGTTCCACACCTTGAACACCTTGGACACCTTGCTCGCTACCTATCCTAGGAGGATCAAGCGTCGCCGGTGCATGCTGACGCGCATTCAGAGGATCTAGCGATACGATGATCGAGGCCGCGCAAGATCTTGCGAGAATTTGGAACGATCGGGACGAGTTGGAAGACAAGACGAAATGAGAGGCGTTGGGGATAGTAAGACAAGGATCTTGGTCTTTGCTAATTTTTAACGTTTTTTTTGTTGAAACATCTCCGTGTTTAACCAGTTAGCTGTGTTTTACGAGTATACTCGTCATGGAGAAGCGGCAGTATTTTGTGTCGCGACGAGTATACTCGTCGCGCGTAAAAAGTAGTAACCATTGGCTATTTAAATTGTAATTTCAGTGAAAACAAAAACATATTCTCAAATTTCAAGATGTATAGAATATTTTCAGGCCGATCTTACACGCGAAGGTGTTTACATTGTTATAAAAATAACCTTTCCTTGTTTTCCTTGCTTTGCCGAATACCACTTTACAGCAGAAATTTGAATTTTTAACTTTTACAAGTATTTGATTTTTCCTGCGTTTTTCGTTTATCATGTATGTAGTATATGTTAATGTTAAGCGAACAAGTAAATATTGGTAATAAAATTGTTAATCTAAAAATAAAATTGTTAATATTTTAACTCTTATTCTATGTTCGACGAGTATACTCGTCATCGCCGCAGCTAACTGGTTAATGATCGGGGAACTAAGGAAAGATTCTTCGAGCTCGCTAATTACACAGTATTATCTTTGCGATCTACGATATGATGTTACACTCGCTATGTAATTTTCGAACATACCGGGGTGTGAATAATTATCGACTCGAATTAACATCTACATTTGTAGCGATATATAAACGAGAACCTAATAAAATATCATATTCGTATATTTCTATATTAGAAATAATATAAAATAGAAACGTACAGATACGATGTTTTTTGTTAAGTTTTCGTTCGGATATCGGTAATATAAGAGAAAAATTACATCGAGTCTCTGATCATGTACACCGCTGTAATTTGCTAAATACGGATGTCGTTCGTTTCCATGAAATCGGAACGAAATTCACTTCGTCTGAAATGAAAACGATGAATATAAATTCGATTCGAATCAGAAATGCTCCAATTATCGTAATATCGATGGAAATCATCGAGCAGTTTCGACGAATTATTTATCGGCGCTTTTGTCTTTAATTTGCGTTTGTATTCTGACAAGAGCACGGGTAGGGAAGCGAGGAAAATGGGAGGCAAAGGACAACAGCAAGCGTACATCGTCGAGACGAACGACCGGAACATGCACGCGAGCGAAAGAGAGCCGACAGTGAAAATAAGCGAACAAGATGGAGGCCGAACCAGAGCCAAGCGCATGAAAGCGGTGCAAACTGCGGTATATCTGGGATCGTAACTTATAATTGCTTTATCGTGCCGATTCAGCATCGATTCTACACGACCACTCGGCTTCTATCACCGATTTAAATTTATCGAGTCGATTGTTGCGCACTTTTTCAGCCGACCGGTATTCGATTAAGCGAGAATATCTTCTTTTCCCGCACCATCGACGATTCTAAATCATACAAGTTCGAAGTATTTTCTAGATCGGAAAGAGACTCTATTTGCATCGATGATCAGTCCCTATTCGATATGCCTGAATTTATTATCGACAGAATAACAAAGTTCTTTCTGAATTATTCAATGGAATTTATGGAATCGTTGGTCGCGTTGTCGTTCGAAAGCGATGCTGTGAAACTTCATCGATCCATGCGGTACAACAGCTTTTATGTCGCAATTTTGTGCGATTTACCAATAATAGTTTCAGATCTTATATTTGAAATAAATATAATATATAGAAGAATAATATATAATATAATAATAATATAATATATATAATATATAATATATAATATATAATATATAATATATATATATATTATATTATATTATTATATTATTATATAATATATAACAATATAATATAATATGATAATAATATAATATATAATATATAGAAGAATAATATAAAGAAGAGAAAACATCGAAAAAGAAATCGAAATTTGTTTCGTCATTTAGCAGAAAAGAAAGGCGTTATTTTGGAAAAAGGTACGATCGAAAGAGGCGAGAATGCCTGTTTCATTCGACGAGATCATGCGGGAACAGAGACTTTCCCCCGCTCGAATGTTCGCCTTTTAACGTTACACAACTATAATTGTGAGCGTTCGGCGATAAAGCTATTGTTCGGTCGTTTAAATGCACGTCCGTAGACCGCCGCGTTTTTCTCAGGCTCGCGATTAATGTGAAAATTAATGGAACGACGCGATCGCGCCAACGATAACAGGGAGACAATGATTCTCTTCTGTAACTTCTCCCTACCGCTGAATGGCGAAGGAGGTATTATAAATACAGCGACGAAATGTAATTCGCGCTCTCCGATCAAATTGCGCAAACGTTGAGAAACTTTTATGCCGATTATTTACGACTCTTTCTTGTGTAAACAGTTTTACAGCCGCTCAATTGATAAAATCGCTAGACCGTGGATATTTATTTATGCATTTGCTGATTGCAACAATTATTCAAGAGGAAGTGAAATCAAATCTTGTTTACACTGAAGTAAGTTAGGACGCATTGCCGATTAGCGAATATCGTTTAACACTAAATTTACCGAGAAACAAAAGCGATCGATACGTGTCGTTTATAAAAATGATAAATTTAATTTATTTAAATTCTTCGCGATTTTTATCGTAATATCTACTTGGGAATAGAGATTTATACTACCATTTATCATGATAGCGAATTTACAATTTTGTAAATTTAGTGTTAAAAGTTTAGTTCCTCCGAATTTGTTTGCAAAATTTTGAGTTTGCATTTGTCCGCAGTCTGCCGATAAATAGTATGTTTTAAATAGAAAAATATAATAACGAGAATATATATATGTCGATAAATCATTGATTAGAAAATGAATTCCTAATTTTTCGGAACGAAAACCTGGAGGAATTGTGGTTTCATTTTGAATTGGACCTAGAATATTGAATGAAATGGGAATGGTTTGACAAAATTTGAACTGAATCTCAAGAACGTGGTCCATCGATTACTTTAGATTAAAATCGTAGGTGAAAAATGAGAATGGTATAGTACTTACTGCGGAAGGTGTCCTGACTGACGGCGGCCTCTTGCGAGACCAGATATTGTCTCGCTTTCTTTCCACTGTAGTCGCGAATATCCTGATTTGCACCTACACAGTTTCATGGCAGAATACATGTTCAGTAAAACTATCGCTACAAATTCTCTTTGCGACGCCTACTTTCGAGAACTGCATGTAATGCTACACATTTAATTTTGCCAATAGTTTATATTTATATAAACTAAAATAAATAAATATTATATATACTATATATACTAAATAAAAATATACTATAAATATACTAAAAAAAAAAATATATATATATATATATATATATAAATAAAATATACTATATATACTAAATAAATATTTATATATATTTGTTTAATAATTAACACATTTGCGCTAAATTAAACATTTGACTCACCGTATACTTGGACTAGAAGGTTGAAAACGTTCTCGTGATCGAATTGCATCGCGATGTGCAGCGGCGTGTATCCCTGCAACATTCAATAGTTATTCAGACTTCTGTCTGAATCGATATATTTCGAGATATAAACAGAGTTGGACATTATTCGAACTGTTACGGATATATATAAATATTTATCTAAAATAATTATTCGAACGAATTCTTTTTAGTCGAATATTATATTCGAATAACAATTATTCAACAAATTATTCTATCTATTTATTCGAATAATTTTGCATTTTTTATACCAATAAATTATACAAATAGAGATTGCAATATTATTTGAATAATAATGCGAAAAACCGTTGACCGTTTTTTGACGTAATTTTTTCAGCATTATTAATATTTAAGGGTTTGCGTTTTAACACGTTTAAAAATATGGATGCTAACTTTCGAGAAGATTTACTTGTATCTGTTATCTCAGGATACCGATATTTTTCTCGGTATAAATAATTTCGTAAAAACATTAAAAAAATCACCACTTTTCATTACGGTAAAGTGACTTATGCCACTATCAAAATAAACGGCTCAAATGTAGAAAATATTCGGTTTGTATAAAGATCCGCGATCTACTTGCAACGGAACGCGCGCTATTGAGTTCTAAGTAATGAAACAGTATCGAAATATTGGGTTGTCCGGAAAGTTCGTGCCGATTTTTGGTAGGTAGCGTGAGAGACCCGACCGAATATATCACAATTATTGAAAACAAATGACATGTGTACATATTCTAAAAGAGATAACTTCAGCCATATTTGGAAAAAGTTTGGTTACGATTCGTTAATTTTTATCAGTTTTGTACGCCTTAGAATATGGTGGCAAATAAAGCGCATTATAGACATTTAATGCTTTTCTTTTTCCGAAAGGGCAAAAATGCCACACGAGCGGCAAATAAGATACGCGCTGTTTATGGCGAGGATACTGTGGCCGAAAGAACTGTGCGGAAGTGGTTTGCTCGGTTTAAAGCTGGAAATTTCGACCTCGAAGATCAAGAACGCCCAGGTAGGCCGTCCACCACAGACGAAGATACGATTAGAACAGAAATCGAGAATAACCCACGCTCAACGTTACGTCGATTAGCAGGAATGCTAAATAAGTCAAAATCAACCATCCACGATCATACTGTGAAGCTTGCCTATGTAAAATCGGCACGAACTTTCCGGACACCCCAATAGTAACAATCGTATGAAATAGAAACTGTACAACAGAATAATCCGCCAATAATGATCTGTTTTCCCGAACGAAACAGAAAACAGCATAAAAATTCACGCGATACCAAGCAGCTTAAAAAGCCAATTTGCATAAAGGTTCACAGTCTAATTATTACTAATCGCAGATCGCGATTCGCTCCCTCCTCGTTCCCACGCAGCCCGGATCAACAATAACGGCTCCGATCGTAGCATGGGGAACTCTCCGAACAACGAGCACGGAAAAAAGGCGCCAATCCGCGAATAAATCACCCGATCGGCGTCTTATCGTGTCTCCGCTCGCTCGCTCGCTTTTTCTGTTCCACGAAAGAGACCGGCGGAAGGCTTGCGGGACGACGGGAGCGAGGCAAAGAGAAAGAGATGAAGAAAAAAAAGCGTCGCGTCGGCGCGGTCCCCGCGGGGACAATGAGGAATTAATGCCGGCCCATTATGAATATCACTCGGAGCGTGCGAATTCGCGTTTCCGCGACAACAATATTATCGCCGGGGGACCGAGTGTGTGCGTGCTCGGGCAAGATTGAAACGCGATCCCGCAAAAACGAACCTCGCGTGCGATAGATCGACAAGCGTATGAACTTTCCGACTTTCATCCGGCCATTGCGCGCGGATCCCCGGCGACGAGGAACTCAACGTTACCGATTTCCACCAGGATTTTCTCCGACGTTTTCTCGGCGTTCCCGCGGAAATCACCTCGTCGGAATGACAACAACCCTCGTAAAATTGTTTTCTTGCGAACTGCACAACGATCAGAAATTCGATGAATTTCATATCTTTACATAATTTTTTCCGTAATCTTGTTTTCTTCGAACGTCGTTGCTGCGAAGACGGTTCTGTATTTGTTTCGTTGATTTTTTGTCAGAAATGAATAATATCTGCGATTTATTCATTGGTTATTTACAACGAGACATTGCGAAACATAAAGAAAAATTGAAATGTAAATTGTGCGCAAATATTTGACTCGTGCTCTTTTTCTGTCAATCGTTAGTTTCCATGTCGATAGGGTTGCAGCAACCCCCAAAATTGGAATTGCAACAGTTTGCTGAACATTTGAGAAACTGTTACAAAAATAATCATCGAACATCACCCTCTACTTTTTCTCATAATATCGCGCATAGGATAGAAACATATTGTATTAGATATCGTATGAAAATATATTATAAAATTTCGTATAAATATATCATAAAAATATATCATGTGGATATCGTATAAAAATATGCTTTCTATAGAAAGTAGAACAGATTGGCGGATTCACGAGAACAAAATTGATTTTCAGTCATGCGAAAATTATTAGCCATCGTGTACACGAAAAACATTCGCTTAACACTTTACCGACCGGCAGTCGATTAATCGACCTTTTTATTTTCCGTTAGATTCGATTAGGTTAGACTGGCAAGTAGCGAGCAGCAAGCATTTCTTATTTTGTATTCTGATACTCGTTGCTTTGCTCCGAAAGCACCCATATTTTTATACAGTTCATACAAATTTAGCCTTCGCGACGAATGAAAAGGATAGCGTTGGTGAGTTTTATCTCGACGATCTGTCAGATTGTCTTCGCTGCTCTTCGGCAAGTGGTACCGACGACGAAAGTGATAGCAATAATGTAATGATTCGAAAGCGACGTTCTGTATTACCACTGATATACAATGATTCGGAAGGCGATGATACAAATAATAACGTTGAAGACAGCAGTGGTACATGGTCGACGAACGACGAGACTATAATTTTGGAACCTTTCGAAGGCAGCCCCGGCGTAAAAATTATGCCAAGTTCCCCTGAAAGTGTAATGAATATTGTAAATTTATTCATTGGAAATGACCTGATCGAGCGCTTGGTGAGGGAATCTAATAGATATCATTATCGAGCCATAGAAAAATATAGATTTATATCAAAAACGAAAAAATGGACAGACACCGCGGTATCTGAAATGAAGAAATTTTTGGGCCTGATAGTTCTAACGGGACAAGTAAAGAAGGACGTTCTCTACGATTATTGGTCCACGGATCCAACCATAGAAACGCCATCCTTCTCGAAAGTAACGAGCAGAAACAGATTTTTACAAATAATGTGTGTTGAAATAATAATGCCGGTGTCTCGGACGATATGCGGCTGAGTGACCGGTGAGAAGGGCATAGGATTCTCGAACCGCTACCGGTCGGTAAAGTGTTAAATGTGAATACGTAGTTGACCGAAGCACGTTATTTAAGTCCATAGCTGATGAACAGACGCAGTCCGGTTCAACGGAGCGGACGTAAATTAACAAGCTCAATTTGCCGAGCACACTACACACGATTATACAAATGTGCGAAAATAACCGATTACGAGAACGGTTAATAATCCGCCATATTTTACAGCGCCACGTTTCCGGGATCTATCGGGGGATATCACATATCGGATACACGGAATCGCCGTGGACACCACCGTGCGCCCGCTCGGTCGACAAAATTATTCAGGAAGATTCGGATCTTAATGCCGAGCTGCTGAATTATTAATTATTATAGGCGTTACATATTGAGAAGGCAATCGAGCCCGGCCATGATACCACATATAATATATAATAGTATCTCGGTAAGAGCGCGCGAGGATCGCGGGCAGATGTTTCCTGGCGGCGGAAAAGCGGACGCCTCTCTCTCACCTGCCGCCCTCTGCACGATACTAATTGCGAGATAACGTCACTCGAATATTCCGCTCGCTGCTACGTAATTTCTAGAAAGCACACCGTCGATTTCTCGAGTGAGAACAGATATCTCGCGCCGCTATCGATTAGCGTCGAACGTATAATATTTCACTCCCGGAACGTGGAGAACGTCTTTTCTTTAACGGCCGGTGGATGTAGTCTGCGGTGACCGGGTCGAAGGTGACCCGAACATCAATTTTCTTCTTGGCAAGCAAATTTTCGTATCGGGCTTTTTTTTATTTAGGAAAGCGGTTAAGGTAATTGGTAAGATACGTGAACCTAATACTGTGGGACTACACGCTTTACCGCGTTTTTGAAAATAGAATTAAAATACGTGAGAATAAATGATCAGCTCTCGATAAATAGTTATCTATAAATTATTATTAGCTCTACGATTCAATGAGAATGTATTCTCGTGTTCCCGGTATTCTCGAAGCAAAACATGTTGTTACTCATTGTTGTCGAAAATAAAAAGAAAAACTCGAATGAATGGAGTTTTAAAAATGAAAACGAAGAAGAATTCAAAAAGAAAAATAAGTTCACAGCGCTTCTAATTTAAGATGGGTCCGAACTAGAGATAGTAAATATTATCTAATTAAATATTTATTAAAAGCACGCATTTAGTTATTTAGATATTCGATAATAGTATTAAAAATGAAATATAATATATTATACTATAGTTCACAAATTAATAAGAGTTTTATTTATTTAAGATGTAACAAATAAAAGAATTCTAATCACAATATGTAATCGGTATACAGAACCCTTTTTCGTCTGCAGTAACACGTAAAAATTAAATCGATTTTATTGTTTCGTATCTTCTTATTTATTTTCTTAATATTTTCTTTTTTAATATTTCTTATCATTAGGTTTTAGGGGCCACTAATTTTGTCTGTTATACGGAACATTTCCTGATAAATTAGGATAAACATTAAAATAAAGTAATCGGTAAATTTGCCCTATGTATTGCATTGTAAAAGAGTCAAGCTTGAATTTATTAATATAAAAATACATAATGTAGTAAAATGCTGTGATGCGAAAGAAAAGATAAATAAAAATGGCAGGTGCGATAATTTTCTATAAAATAATTTTATATTTTAATATTATAATATTAATTATTATATATAATATAATTAATTTAATATTATAATA